TTGGATTAGCATGAACATTACCACATCAAAAACAAGTTTATAAGTTCAACAACATCTTAGGGTAATGTTCCTAGTCCAATTCCAGCCAAAAAAGTCGAATTTATGCTGTCTGGGGGTCCAACTCGTCGAGTGCACGAACCAACTCGGCGAGTTGGATGCTTTTTGACTTGGACTCGGTGAGTCCATTCATGGACTCGGCGAGTCTGGTGGGCAGACAGCATCAAAACTCGATTTTTCAGCTCCATTTGCAAGTATAACAAGAAAACAAGCCTAGGCTCTGATACCACTGTTGGGTTATGAGCATTCTAACACTCCTAAGTGTACATGCAACCCTAAATACCTTGGATCTATGTTTTCTCTATTATACATGCAAATAAGAACTTCCAAGGTATTATCCTAATCTAGCATACAAAACAATGACTATAGCAAGATAGATTACATACCTCTTTGATGTAGAAAGTCTTCATGAAGCTTGAGTGCCTAGTGCCCCAAGTGTGACACCTCAAATGGTTCACACAACACCAAATACACTTGGAATAACTTGAGAGAATTCTATACTTCATGAAATCGGCTAGCCCTCTCTAGAATGATACTAGTGACCGATTTTGTCAAGAATAAGATCTTTATATAGTGTTACAATTAGGGTAAACCCTAATTGTCATGACTTTCCATTTCCTTGGATCCATGGGTTCAAATACACCATGGAGCATCATATGGGTTTTGGCCCAACTAGATAATCCATGGAGCATTAGCTCACTATACAAGTATGGATGATTTACACAATCAACCCATATATGTGATTAGTCTTCTTTTGATCACTTAATTAATCCTAGATTAATTCTTGATCAATACTAATTAAATAATCTTATTATTCTTATTATTAATATACTAGAACTTATAATATATTAATAACCATAAGTGTCTTATTTCTCTCATTATAGTCTTTTCCAAATGCATGATGCCATGCAACCCAAATGGACCATGTCGGGTCGGGTCAAGTCTTACCAATTATAGTTATGGACTTAGACATTAATCCAACAGTTCTATCTTAGTTTCATGATGATGTTTTGGATTACAATTTTATTAATTTAAAAATGAATATTTTTGGTCTTATTTTTGGGATGTTACATTTATGGTATGGATTCTGATTATGCTTGTGCCTTAGTTTCTCTTTGTAACAAGCTTCCGGACATTGACCTTAGCAGTTTTATGTGTAACATCCATAAAATTCATAAAAATTTAAAACTTTTTCAAGCATCCAAAAACCATTATGTATTACAAAATGTTTTCAAAATAGTTTCATATCAGAGTATCCCATAAATCAAAATCATAAAGTGTGAGGTGGTGCACCATCAAGCCTTCGCCTTCCCGCGGTCATCCGAAGTACCTAAAACAAAATCTAAAATTGTAAGCTTGAAGCTTAGTGAGTTCCCCCAAAATACCAATGTCATACAAACCATAACTATATCATAACAAACAACATGCATATAGAGTCTACAGTATGACGAACCGTCCTCGTCGGGCGTTCAGTCTATCTGGCCCACTCTCAGAACCTTCAGCATGTCTGGTCCACCCTCCTGGGCCTTTAGCCTGTCTGGACCGTTCTCTGGGCCTTCGGCCTCACTGATACACCCCGATGGGTCTGCAGTCTATCTAGACCACCCTGGGTCTATTGGCCTTCAGCACAAAGCAAGATTGCCTCAACCCAATGACACATATACAATCAACACATAAATATCATACGCTAGCTAACATGCACAAACAGTCAGATCGATCTAACGTATCACTAATCATAGCATCATCCTATATATCAGGATACCGACCTAACAGGTCACTAACATAGCATCATCCTATATACCAGGATACCGACCTAACAGGTCACTAAGGATATCATCATACGATAACCAGGATAACAATCCAAAAAGGGTTGGCATTAGTGCCTTCGACCCTGTTAGTATAGTGAGGACAATTCACCTCATAAGTAGTGCTAAACATATAAATTCGAATCCCAACACAAAGCTCCAAGCTCAAATCCCTATAATCACCATATATTGATTCCATTAAAATCCCAAAATACCCCCAGAAGTCAAACTTGGTCAAAGTCAAAGTCAACGGTCAAGGTCAACAGTCCATGTTGACCCAACTCGTCGAGTTCATCTACTGACTCGTCGAGTTCCTTCATAACTCAGAAACCGAAAACTCGGGCCAACTCATCGAGTTACCCGAGTAACTCGTCGAGTTCTTCAGTGTCCAGAAGATCATGAAAACGCTAATCAACTCGTCGAGTCATCTCACATAATAGCTGACCAGTACACATTCCTTTTAAAAAACAACCATCCAAGTTTATAATCCCTCTACAGCCACTTCTCCAACCCTACTTTAGTACATGAAAACACACACACACACACACATATATATATATACATATCCTACTTAAGTAAGTTTTCCCATATGACATAGAGTTCACAAACAACTTGAATGTTGATCCTGTATTAGACCTTTTTATCTCCTCACCATAGGACCATAACTTTTCATAATTTTCCACTATGGTGCCTTCAACGAGAGACACTGCATGTTGCTTAGCTATCTTACATTATCTCATATTAACCTCTATGCCAAATTTAGTCTTTACTTCCTATTTTAGCATCGTAACATTGAATTTCTGATTCTCAATAACTTCCTTGGTGAAATGACTACCAATCCATCTATAATTAACAATTGAACCTAACTTAAAATTTCTTGCATAATTATGCTCATTGATAAGGGACTTGATTTGGAATGAGTGTTCCACACTCATCCATGACGCCCAGAGCCTAAATGTGCGCATTCACCATCACAACACTTAACTAATAACCTTTTACTGACATTTTTTCATAGTACAGTTGATACCCATTGGTTACAACATAAATACAAGGCATGAATTTCAATTGTTTAGGGTTGGTGAACCTCATACCTAGAACCGACAACTACTTCTTCCAAGATATGTCTTCATTAAACATTGGTTTTCCTTTCACATCTGGGACTTATCATATTCAACATCTGGGACATTGTCATATTCATCATCTTTTGGATCACCTTTTGTGGCATCCTCTTTTCCATTTGCCTGACTTACTCCTTCATAGGTTACTCATTCCATGTTGCTCTGTTGTGAACTCATGAAGTCAGTTAGGTCAATACCTTCCTCCCCTTTGAATGAGATGTTTGACTTCATAGAACAATTATCTTTATTTTCATTTTCCTTAGTTACGTGCACAATAGTATTGGTCCATCTAAACAGGCAGTTGTACTCCACATCGATAAGCAATGTCTATAAATTCTTGATATTGAAGTTCATTATAAATCAAGGTTAAACCTTTTGGGATTTCTAAATCATGTTAACAATAATAAAGTTTCTCACACTTCTCTTGTGTGAATCGTTTAAGAAAACCCACAAATTCATTATATGACATACCAACAAAATCGATATTCTCGAACACATGATGAACATCATTAGAATAGCAAAAATGTTTGTTAATGAACACACCTTGGAAATGAACTTTGATTGAGAAGAATATAGTCATCGATCTACAGTTACTATGGTGGGAGGATGGGTTTCTTCAATGAGGAGGAGGGGATTGTAGAACGCAATCGGTTTATTTAAAACAAATTAAGATAAATGTAATATATGTTGCCATTTCATTAAATGAACTGGCACCGACATTTTCCTTCGTGGCATGTATACTACCTTTGAACTCGGTATCATGTTACATAAGCGTATTTTAAAATAGTGAAATGTAAGTTCATTCCTTTAATGTGTCAAAAAATAGTTTGGTGACATTTTAAAACAAACACGATAAAATTGATGGGTTAATATGATATTGACCTTTTTTTTTGTAATTTTTGAGGCATTACAAAGATAGTACAATCCGTTAAACAGGAATATTATAAAAACGGTTATTTTATATGTAAAAACTATTTTCATAATAGATATTCACTATCAGACAAAGAAAATACTATAAAATTAATGTAAGATAATATAATCCGTTATATATATATATATATATATATATATATATATATATATATATATATATATATATATATATATATATATATATATTCCTTATATTTTTTGTTTGTATTTTTTGATTTATTAAGTTTTTATACATGGTTGGTGATGGGTTTATAAGATAAAAAAATTAGAATATAAAAATTGCTGGTTTTTTAGATTTAATTTGACTAAAAAATAAAGACGATTAAACAGTTACTCAAATCAAACTATAGGGATTTTTCGGTAGATTCCTTTTATATATATATATATATATATATATATATATATATATATATATATATATATATATATATATATATATATATTCCTTATATTTTTTGTTTGTATTTTTTGATTTATTAAGTTTTTATATTTTGTCGGTGATGGGTTTATAAGATAAAAGAATTAGAATATAAGTTTTTTCGATTTAATTTAACTAAAAAATAAAGATGAAGACTAAACGGTTACTCGGATCAAACTATAGGGATTTTTCGGTAGATTCCTTTTATAAATGAGAAACAAATAATTCGAAAAATAATACTCGGCGTAATAATAATACGCGTTGACACCATTTCCTCGGTCCCACTCGTTATTTTTTTTCTCTCTCTCTCTGAATACCCTCTGGTCCTCTACTCCTCTTCCATCTCCATCATCTGTATCTTCATCCAGAGCATCTCCAAAGTCCAAACCCAAATCCTCACATCACAAGAACTCAACAAAATCAATTTCACTGAAGAACAACGATTCCCCATGAATTTTATGCAAAAATCCATCTGAAATGAACCATTTCTATCGCCAGTTTTTCATTCAATTCGTTCTGTATTTGCTTCTTTCCTTCAACACTCCTCACTCAACCCTCGTCGGAGCTAACCACACCTCCGCCAGATTCTGCTCCCGCTAGTACTTTCCACTTCCAATCCCTCATTCGATTTTAATTTAATATAATCAAAATCACTCACAGGAGTTTGTGATGGAACTCGCCGCCGGTAAATCCGGCTTCCTCCGAAACGTTGTGGTTCGCTTTTTGTTATTTTCCCTTCTCGTCGTTGGCGTCCGATTTGCTTATGTCATTACCATCAGAGGCGAATCCTGCAGCTTCGGCGATGATTTCTGTTTCTTCTCTTCAACCTCGCCGGAAAATCAAAACCTGGTCACCGCAGCCGGAGGACACCTTGACTCATCCTCTTCCGTGACCCTCAACCCTATCGCCGCCGCCACGCCAGAGGTCCACAAACGTGTGATGTTTTATATCACCGTGTTTCAGGATCTGATCGTCGATGGGTTCCTTTCGACAAAATCGAAATCTCTCTGTGTCGAAACACCCGTCGGTGAAGACGTGTATGCTCTAAAAGAGATCGGCGTCGATGATTCCGTCGGAATCTACAAAAAAGCATCGAAACCTTTAGTAATCAATGGGTTAGGGCATAAGCATCCTTTTAAGGACAACACATTCGATTTTATATTTTCCGGTAACGGAGCTTTGGACAGATCTGACAAGGCGGCGGAGTTCGCGGCGGAGGTTGGACGGACGCTTAAACCCGAAGGGTATGCCGTCATCCACACTTCTTCCATAGATACATATAGTTTCAATTCTTTCATTCGTTTATTCAATTGTTGCAAGTTCGTACATTCTCGTCATATGGATGGATTCGATCCTGATATGCCCCACATTCATGAAATCGTAATGAAGAAGATAGTCGACATCAAAATTAGGGAAAAAACCGATAGTAGTGTAAGCAATCGGTGCTCAGTTCCTGGGTATAAACAAGATCTGTTAAAGAAAGCCGAGCCTCTGATTGAAACAGAACCACTGAAACCATGGATTACCCTGAAGAGAAACATCGAAAACGTCAAATACCTTCCATCAATGGCGGACATCAATTTCAAACAAAGGTACGTGTATGTAGACGTGGGAGCTCGTAGCTATGGCTCCAGTATTGTTAGCTGGTTCAAAAAACAGTACCCAAAACAAAACAAAACCTTCGACATATACGCCATTGAAGCAGATAAGCATTTCCACGATCAATACCAATCCAAAAAAGGCGTCAAATTACTACCCTACGCTGCCTGGGTGAAGAACGAGAGCTTGGTTTTCGAGATTAACCAAACCCCAGGTGATGAAAACGTTGAGAAAGGAAGAGGAATGGGTAGGATTCAGCCTGTGAAATCTGGTGGTGGGATTGTGGGCTCTGTTGATGTTATTCAAGGGTTTGATTTTGCAAATTGGTTGAAGAACACAGTGACAGAGAAAGATTTTGTGGTGATGAAGATGGATGTTGAAGGAACTGAATTCGATTTGATCCCAAAATTGATTGAAACAGGTGCGATTTGTTTGATTGATGAAGTGTTTCTTGAATGCCATTACAATCGGTGGCAGAAATGTTGCCCAGGTGTGAGGAGTCCAAAGTATCAGAAGACGTATGGGCAGTGTTTAGATCTGTTTAAATCTTTGAGACAACGTGGTGTTCTTGTTCATCAATGGTGGTGATTGGTGTTTGAAGCCTTTTTGTATTATTACTTGAAAATGTTGTAGTTGTTATAATATGTTTCCGTTTGTGTACTAAGTTAAAGTAATTTGTTTACACATTGTACTTTTATGATTTCTGATTGGATTATACTTAAGAAATGAAAATGGTATACACGGCTTAGTCGTTTAATTAGTTTCTTATGTATGTTCCTTTTGTTGCCTAGTTTAGTAGGAATTTAACATGGTGCTAATCTTGATTAGTAAATTGTTTGATTTAGTACTTTTTGTTATGTATTTGACAAGGAAGAACAAAGACTTTTGGACTATGTTTGATGAGTCTTGATAGGTCTAAAATCGATGCCAATAAGCCAAAAATTGAAAACTTTTGTTTCAATTCGCAAAAAGGTTGAGCAATATAGATAGAGATTTGTTTTATGATATTTGGTATTTGGTATGTATAAAAGAAATGAATGCCCTCAGTCGATCTAAAATAAACCTAAAATGTTTGTCTAGTAACTACAACCTACAAGATGTGTATGGAAAAAGAAGATTTGTCGTCTTAAGAGAAAAGATCATGTGAATCCTTGTTAACTTGAGAGTATCCACAGTATGATAGCATTTTATGAAACTTTTTAAAATGAAATAACTTATTTGTATCTTCACCATTATAAGATCTTTTTCAATTTGTTTTTTTAGTTGTCTATTTATAATTGGTTGAAAACATATAGAACTAACTAGGAATGAACATAAACGGGTACCCGGCTAAATTTGATAGAACAAAAACCGTCGGTTTATAAATTGTTGGAATCGGAACAAAAACCCGGTTGTATCACTACCCATTATTTTGGAATTGAAACTGGTTCCAGTTTGGGTACCTACTCAATCAATATTTTTTATTTGAATAAAATTGGTCTAAAACCATTTTTTTAATCTAAACTAATTTAAACCAGCTCTATTTCTCAACACACCCACAAATCTTACATCAACATCATATACAAACTGTCTAATTTATTAATGCATTAGTTTTAAATATAATATAAGAAGGTTACATCAACATCATATACAAGTTGGAATACGAACTTTTTGGATTGTAGCAGCTTCATTTTGTTAAAATATTGATAAATAATATTAAATAATTAAGATTATGTTCTCAAGACAAATTATTTTTACTACAAAATAAAATATTTAATCACATAGACAAGGTTAATATACTGAAATCAAAATACACAAAATAAAAATATTGATGTCATATATATATCTAAATTGGTTCCGACGGATACCCAGTGAGCAACAGTTCTGAAAAAAAATGAAAATTTGAACCAAAACTGTTTGTGACGGTTCCAACACTTTAGGAACCGGAACCGTCATTCTAGAACCGACGATTCCAAGACGGTTTTGGTTTCGAAAATGGGTATACTGTTCCGTTGCTCATCCCTAGAACTCATAGTATCATTGGCCAGGTTATTATTATTATTATTATTATTATTATTATTATTATTATTATTAGTTTTTTTCCAATATTTGTTAATTAACAAACTCCTTGAAAAAACTTCTCTAATAGTATTTTCAATTTTAAAAATTTCAAAAGGTTTTTGGTTTGAAAAAACTTTTGTGGATGCTGTGGGATAGAAATCGGTCCGGTGTGGATTGGATACAAGGATAAAAAAAAATTGCATAGTGAGTTTTTCTTTCATCCTTCTAAACGAAACAAATAATATATAAATTTTATCCTGTTGTCTTTAATCTCAGTCCAAATATTCTACATACCAAACCCACTCAATGATTCTCATGTTTCCATATATGTGGGGAGGAAAAAATTATTAATTTTTGTCTTATTGTCATTAATTTAAGTCTAATACAATATCAAATGCATTAAAAAAGTTGTGCTTGTGGTATCTAATGCTACAAGAGAAATGGGCCTTAGATTGACAAAAGCAGAGTTGTGTCATGTGTATTTATAGATGTTTGCTTCGCCCCTTTCTCTCTATGTCTATATTTGGTAATAGTAGGAGATGGGCCCACATTTGATGAGGCATTCATTGTATGAAAAGCTTTGGTGTAAAGTAATTTGGGATCATGGGATGTTTTAGGTGTCTCATCGATCATGTGATGTTTTATGTGTTTCATCTTTCAACAACTCAGACTTGATAGCAATGTTATGCATTTTATACAGAATACACGAGAAAAACTCCCTTAAAATATCATAGTGGTTATGTTGGTTAAAACTGTGGACCAATGTTTTAAAAAACAATTTTTTAGTTAAATCGGTACGATGACCGGTTTAAACGTTTCGACCGTCGGGTTAACCGATTTTTATAATTTTCATCTTTTTTCTTATTTTCTTATACATACATATATAAATCATGAATTTGACGTTTACAAGTTCAAACATTAAAAATACATATAAAAATAAGTTGTAGATAAATCAAAATACATTTATAATATGCTTTATTTAGAAAAAACTAAATAGATTTGAAAAAATCACCAAAGTTTATTACGCAAATGGTTCTTTTCCATGTATTTTTATTCGGCTTAGGCAGTTGGATCAGTTTATTTTGATTGGTTCAACCGGGTTTTTCTAAAAACCGGTCGTTCAATCAGGTTCAGAAATCGATGAAAATCAATGATAGTTGAACCACTCTCTCCACCGATTCCCGATGCAACCGGTTCGAACTGGTTTTTAAAACATTGTCGTGGACTAAAATGCATGATAATTGGGTTAAATAGCAATGTAATTATTGATTTATCTAATTTCAGCAACTTATACTATTATTTATTCATAAATATAACTAGGCCTGACCCAGATAACGGGAACATAGACGACCGTCTAGGGCCCTTCTCTCGTAGGACTAAAACTTTTAGTTAGTGTTACATATTGGTATTATTTGATGAATGATATTCGACTGAGAAAATAAATTCATGAGCCCTAAAATATCAAATATTATATCGTATGACATGGATTTTTCCGCTTTGGAGAATTGGATCATCAACACGAAAATCAAGAACCATAAGAAATGCCTCACATCGGAACTCACAAGTTAAATAATAATAATAATAATAATAATAATAATAATAATAATAATAATAAAATAATAATAATAAGAACGGGAGCGATCAAAAGAGGGAAACAATATGAAATAGGAAAGAGGGAAACAATATGAAATATGAAATCAATAGGGTGTTTGGCTTATCTTTTGAGAACTCAAAAATCCTTTTAGAAAAAGATAAAAGGTAAAAGATGTTTGGTAAAAACACTTTTAAAAGTTACTTTTGGATGTAGAATATAAGTAAAATCACTTTTTTAGAAAATTCGGGAAAACCGACTTTTTGCAACTTTTCTTAAAAAGACTTTTGATTTCTAAAAAAATAAGTCAAACACCTCCTAAGTTTTCTTATCGCTCTATGGAAGCAACGGTCTACCTCTTTGAATGTTATCCATCCATAAGGTCCCAAGGAAATAAATGATTTACTTTTGTTTCTAAGGATTAAATCATGAACATAACCCTCACTTCTTTTGGGAACCTAACTCATGTTATAAATCCTAAAAAAATAAATGATTTTTGTTTCAAAGGGTTATCCACCCCCAAGGTGGTAATGGAAAGCTTTTTTTTTAATCCGACTCAATTTGGGTTTTGAAATTAGAACTAGATATTGACCCGCGTTAAACGTGGGGAACATAAATTAAATACATATCACATTAATAGGTGACATTGTCTTAGGTGAAATTTTAATTAAAAAATGTTAGTTAAATTCATTTTTAGTGTTTTGAACCAAACATGTTAAATAAAAATATTAACTATTTATATCAAAACAATTTGGTTTTTTAATACAGTAATTTTTAACATAAATGATCCACATGATCTTTGTTTTATCACGACATGATGTAACTCCTTGATTAAAATATGTTGTGTAATAGCTTTATGAATTGACTATGTTCGGTGTACCAATCTCAATGGAGGCTTGCATGGCTCTTTTCATATTGGTCATGTAAAACCAAAAGCAACAATAAGTTGTTATATGTACCAGCAACCTGCAAAGAAATTCGATAAACATTACAATTAAAGTGCATTGCCATAACCATAAACATCAAATTTAGACATGCAATTTGATCAATTTCTAAATTATTTTTTCCTTATGAGAATTAAAATATGATTTTCAGGCTACGCCCAATCACATATACATATCTTTCGCTTCAAGGAATTATTACAAAAAAATAACATGTTATGAACAAAAAATAATATTAGTTTCATAATTTGCCAGAGGTTAACACTAATAAATTATAATGAACTTTCACAAATCTTGCATTTTGGTCACCACATCCAACTAACAAATGAAATTCAGTTTAGTGGATTGATTCAAGAAATGCATTCATGACTTCTTGTAGCTGAATTTGGGGAAATGTTAAGACCTACTGAGATATGAGGGAGCGGTTTGTGATGCTACTGTTGGTTTCTAAAGGGCATTATAAATTCAAAATCATTAGCATATATCTTTCATATATGCTTTAATTATCAAATTTAGATCAAACTTGTCAAAATCAAATTACAAAAAAAATAAATAAATAAATAAATAAAAAAAAAACAGATATGTAACCTAGCAATCAAACAACATATTTTTCATAGAAATAAATATCACAAATCTACATTTTACACTTTATATAATATTCTTAAATTATATCTTACATTTTCATCTTTAATGGTCACTAACACCTCTTTCAACCCTATTGTTGTGACATGAAAGAACTATAGAGTACACACATGCTTAATCGTACCAACAACAATCAATATTTTTTATGATAAATATTGATATAAGTTTTGTTAACGATAAAAGATAGATTATTTTTTATCTATTTAAGTTAATTTGTTTCCTTTGTAAATCCTTTATTTGTGTGTGTGTGTGTGTGTATATATATATATATATATATATATATATTATATATATATATATATATATATATATACCTGTAATACGTTGTACAAATTAATAATAAGAATTGACAATATATTTCTCATATGGTATCA